CCAAAGCCACCCCGTGTCTCTTTTCTCCTCCTCATCCTCTTTTCAAGGGATAGAAAAATAGAAATACACAGGTTATGCCTGAAAATCAGTCCACGGAGGTGGAGTGGGCGACGCCAGGCTGTTGCTGCCCCAGGACCATAAAGCCCTGCATGGGGAGGGAAGGGAGGACATTTGGGGGGGGCCCTGATTCAGAGCACACCCGTGCTGTGAGCTGCTGCCTCTGTAATGGGCGGGAGACGTACCCCGTAAATAGCAGCATCACGGGGGGACTGCATGCAGACCCCCTCACTGGAACCGTGGGGTCCAAACAGTTTTCAGCCTCGGGGAGTTTTCCGACAAGCAGAGCTTAAGGGGATTTGTAAAGCTGGGGTTTGGCTTGGGCTCATCTTTAAAGGTAAGATATTCCCTTTATCCTGCAACCATCCAAGGCTCTTCCCTGCACCCTACATGGCCCTTCACCCCCGTAGCACCCATGTAGTGAGTTTCCTCTGGTCTCTCTGTGGGGAGCAAGGTGACACCCCCCCCAGCCAGAAACATTCGCCCACCACCCCCTTGGCACCAGCAAAAGGTAAAAGCAGCCTCTTGGATTGCGTTTAGTACTTGCTCTCCAGCCTAAAACACTGGTTGGGCAGGAAATCCGCCCCTAGGACACCGTATATAGGATTTCTAGGGGGAAATCAGGCAGGCTGGGAAAGGAGGGAGCCCTAAAGGTCTCCCCGCAGCAGCTTGCTGAAAAGAGGGGCACAGGGTGGGCAGCAGCTCCCCCAGCCAGCCGCAGCCTGCAAATAGGCTCCAGCTGGGGAAGCAAGGCTCAGCCTCAGGTGCTGCAGTCACCGGCCGGGCAGCGCCGCGACAGGAGCCCAAAGTCCTGGGGTGGGAAGGGGGAGAGCAAAGGTGTGCGGTGGTCCGGGGCCGTGCCCCTCCGGAGAAGGGATGTGGCTTGGACTGCAGGATCTGCCTTCAGGTGGGTGCTGCTTTGCAGAGGTCGGATCTCGTAAGGTGAGAGCAGAGATTCGCCCTTCGTGGGAAATCTGTGGCTAAATCTGGCTCGTGTGGTTTCCCAGGGTGCTGGGCAGGAAAAGACGGTGCGGTTGGGAAGCGGCGGTGGGAGTTCGCAAAGCAGGACGGTGGCCTGAGCACCAGCTGCTTGCAGGCACGTGTGCTACGAAGCAGCACCCCAATTTGATCGTGTCCCTCACCCTCCGGGGCTTTGCAGGGACCCCAACATATCCTGCAACACAGAGAGGCTTCGGTGAAGTACGGGCAGTGCACTATTTCCACTGCTGCAATCTGCTGCCCAGTGCAAGCATTTAAACCTCATTTATTGACTCCTCACGGGGAGGTTAAGGGCTCTCCTCTAACCCCCGTTAAGCCAAACACAATCGAGCACCTCCTCTGCCGTTTAGTTTTTGTGTTCGTGGCCGTGAGGCGAGGGAATATCTCCCTTGTCCTTGGGATGCAGTTGGGGATATCCCCTTTGTCCTTGGGATGCAGTGCTGGCGTTTTCCAGTCCCGTGCCCAGTCCTGAATTGCAGCCGTTCCCGATGTGTCTGTTAAGAGTGGAGAATTGCAAATATTACCCTCAGAGAGTTAAACCTTTCCTTTTTAAAAAAAAAGCAAGATCAGCGAAGTTAACATTAGGGCAGTAATTGCATCATGGCGGTCGCTGCCTCTCCTGTTCAACCTGGGGGATTTTTAAATTGCCCGGAAAGCCAGCGGCATCCCCGCTCGGTGCTAAACGAGAAAGGTGGCTGCTGCTGCGCGGGTCTCCCTACGGCAGAGCGTGCCGCCCGCTTTCCTGCCTTGCTTTGCTTTCACGCCGAGACTCGGCCCTCTCGCCCAGGGCTCACGGTGTCTCGCTGCCTGTTCGTCACCCCTGGCTCCGGGGCCGCTCCGGGTGGTTTGCATTAGCACCCTGCGCAGCCCAGGGTGGCGGGGGAAGGCGTTTGGGCTCCGTCCAAGAAGCGTCGTACTTGCTCCGGTCTCTCCTAACGACATACCTAACGCGGGACATCGGAGGGTTTGATCTGCCAATTAGCCTCAGCCGGGGCCGCTAACGGGAAGCAGATGGAGCTGTGCGTTATCGGAGGGGAAAATCTGCCACTTCCTAGCGAGAGCCTGGCTCAGCCTCCCACCCGGCTCCCGGCTCGGAGGATGGATAGCCAAGCGCTCCGGGATGCGCTGGGGATGGCTAAGAGCCAGGTCAGCTCCGGCTGCACACGGGAATGGGATTGAATCCCTACCGGAGATGCCCAAACCTGTTGCCTCTCTTGACGGGGCACCGTGGGGCTCTGCAGAGCCCCTCCGCCCTCCCCAGGCCCCTTTCCCCATCCCGGCGGAGGGCAGAGAGGTCCGGGAGCGCCCGCGCCGGCAGGAGAGTGCCCGGGGGTCTGCTGCAGCACCCCCCGTCTCTCCCAAACACCTACCGAAGCGTTTATCAGCTTCAAAAAGCCAACTGTTTAAATAGCATTAGGGGACTGATTTAAAGTCACAAAAGCCATGAAATTCAGAGTTAAGGCTAAAAAAATCCACTTGACGCTCTGGCCTTAAGTCGTAAAAGGCGTGAGCCACAGGCAGCGGCTTGAAGGAGCGCCCGGCTCCCGGGCCGTGGCTCCCCGGATCTCCCGGCTGCCCGGCGAGGGGGTGCGAGGCAGAGCCCTTAATGAGATTTAAATGAGCTGATGGGCCAATCTGGAAAGTTTCGGGGATGCCATTCAGAGGAGCTTTGGGGGGGGCTTATCCTAAGCTGGGCGGCAGGAGGTGATTTGGCTGAATGGGACATCGCTGTGGTCCCACCTGGACGATCTCTGGGGGTTCGGAGACCATCCCTGGAGTCGGGGTGGGTCCCGGTCCTTTCCTTCCTGCTGTGGGGTTGGGGTTTTTTTGGAGCTGAACTGGGCTCCCACGTGCCCTCCCAGTAAGCGGCAAAAGGATGATCTCGAATTAGGCGCCTACTCGATCGTTCCCGCCTCTCTTATCCTCATGCAAGGGGAGTGTCTTAGTTTTAGCAGAAAATACAAAGCTGGGGTGGTTTTATTTTGTTCTTTTTTTCTCTCTGGGCTGAGCGTGCGGTGAGAAGGGCAGCCAAAAGGCTGATTTTGGGGGGCTCTGCGGTGTGAGTATGTGTGCAGAGGCAGAGCTGTGGCAGCCAGGTCTCCCGGCTTATCTGCTACAGGTGAGAGCAGAGAGGTGTTTTTTTAAGAAATAATCAATATACACAAGGGTTGGGTGGCGGTGGGTGCAGCAGCATGGAGGGGAGCACCTGCAGTCGGGTCCCAAAACTGAACAGAGCTGCTCGGACAGACAGCAACAGCCCGTTCGGAGGCAGGAGCAGCAGTTTTGGGGAATGCCTTACTGTCCCCATCTTCTCTTAACACGTTGCATGCACTAAAGGTACCGAATGCACACTCGATCTAGCTCTTTATTTGGCAACAATGTGAAGAAATAATTCATAAAAGAACACAAAGGTTTTTTCGTCATTTATTTTATTGCGAATTTTCTCAGTTAAACCAGGATTCACAGGTATTACTGGAACTTGTTCATGACCCACATGCTAAATACCAGCCTAGGCATGAACAAGATCAATACTTAATGCTTATTACAACAGCCTTAACCGGGTTATCCACTCCATCTGCAAATCCTGATAAATGAACAGTTATTAATCGTAGGCGTTACAAATGTGTACGTTTCTAAATCAGAAACGCCCCTGGAAGGATGCGAGACGCTGTGCCCACGATCCCTTTTGTTTGCATTGCAGGACCCGTCCGCTGAGACCTTGCTGATGGTGGTGCTGATTGCATGGGTCACAGCGCCGGGGACCGCAAAGGTCAGAACTCACGTAACTTCTTAACTCGGCAGCTTGCAGAGCCTCGGGGACGGGCCCGTGCCGGAGAGCAGCTCCCTGGGACGGGAGCGGGGTCCTGCTCAGAGCTGGGAAACCCGTCTTGCTTTAATTGTCGCAGACCTCCAGTTGCTGTCCCAGCACCTCCTGCCAATACTTAAATTCCTTCTAGGGGGGGGTGAGGGACGCTGCATCCACCGGAGCGGCTTGTGCAGGAACGTTGCTATTATTGAAACAACTTCTCTTAAAATCTTCCCGCTTCCTTCCAGTGGACACGCGAGGACCGGAGCAGTGGAAGCAGCCGATAACCGATGGGAAACACTGGAGGTAGCCTGGCCTCGCCAGGTAATGAAACAAGGGGACCAAGCGGGGTGCTGCTGCTCCGCCTGCCTGATGCCTGAGCACACCCCGAGACCGTTTGCAAGGTAAGGGGCAGGTAACCCCGGCCCTTGGCTGCAGAGCGCTGAAATAAGGCGCGGAAACTTATTTCCGAGCAGCACCGCACTCGCAGCTGCCCTCTCCTGGCACGATGCGTCTTCTGCCAAGTTCTCTTCCTACATCAAAAACCTTTGGCTGCGGTGGAGGCTTTGCTCTTCCTCAGGATCGGGGAGAAAATAGGGCTCAGGGCTCCCACCACATCAATCTCTGGTTTAAAGCAAGCCCGGCTTCCCGCACCTCCTGGGGAGGCTGGTGCAGGCAGCCCTGACCTTCCACCCACGCTCTGCCGCGGTAAAGGCGGCCTTGGGGACAGAGAAGGGAAGGACATTGGTTTTTACAAGGGACTGGGACAGGGCCAGCCTCTTAATGCCCATCTCCCGCTTTAACTGCAGCGCGCTCAGCCCCGTTGAGAGGGAGCCGCGCTGGACCGCTCGGGGTGGACAAAATGGGAGGAAAAGGGAAGCCAGGGTCCGGGTATGCTTCTGCAACACCACCTCCAGCCACCCCTTAATTAACTAAGCATGCTTACATGACAAAGAAAACCAGAAGGACTTTTTCTTTTTTGAATTAACAATTTAATAATAGAGTTTTTCTTTAAAAATAAAACCTAAGCTCCTCAGGTTAAAGATCAGTAGATTTAAGTGCTTTTTAAGGTTGTAGCTGCGAAGCCACTCTGTGCGTTGAGGATCAGTAGTACCGGTGCGGGGCCGGGGAGAAGGCATCACTGCATGTAGGCGTAACGCCAGTCCGTCAGGGGCACGTGCGTTTCTTTGACGGCCTGGGGAGAGGTCCAGCGCAGGATGTAGTGGGGGCCACCAGGTTTGTCGTTGGTGCCTGTTTCGGAAGGAAAGAAAGCGCCGGTGACCACGAGATGGAGGATGGGGAACCTGCCCGGAGGGGGACGCGGCTCAGCAGGTTAAGTGCCGTCTCCAGAGAGGAGTTTTTCCTCTCACCTGAGATGCGGGAGCCTCCGAAGGGTTGCTGAGCCACAACGGCGCCTGTCGACTTATCATTGATATAGAAATTGCCGGCCGCGTTGCGCAGAAGGTTCCTGGCTTCGTCGATGATTCTCCTAAGGACGGATAGAAATGGCTGTGACCGTGACGCAATGGCAAAAATTTGTGCTCTCCCCTTCTATAGCAATTAAAATCGTGCAAAAAGCGTGTTTGCATTTCTTTGCACACATTTCCAGGACTGCACGTTGTTTAACACACACTGAAATGGGTTGTGCATACTCAGAACTCAAATTACCCCATTTTGTTTTCTTTTAGTTTTATCTCTTTAAGTTTTACTGTTATAAAATGAAGGTGATTGTAACTTAAGGGTGATCCCCCTTTGAGGTGACGCTGCTCTTAGCCCTCCTCCTGCTTAAGAGCGCTGGGGGCACATCCTCCCGTACGCTCCCAGTGCCGCCTTCGGGATAGTTTCTCACCCAAAAAAAAGCATTTTTGGGCTGAGAAACCACCTTAGCTGCACCCCCTTCCCTCCCCAGCGGGAGGAGGGCTAAAAGCAGCGTAAGCTTTGCGGGAGATGCTTTCCTTCCCCCCTCGCGCGGGGCTCTGTCCAGAAGCGGGGGGGCTCAGCCCCGAAGGGGACCAGCCTTCCCAGTCCCGGGCCCCGGGCTCTTACTTCTCCCGGGCGAAGATCGCCCCCGTGAGGCCGAAGGCCGTGGTGGTGTCGACCAGCTCCAGGACCTCCGCGAACCTCTTCTCCGGGTAGACGTACACCGTCAGCACTGGGCCAAAAATCTCCTGTAAAAAAACAAACAAAAAATAAAAGCTCTCAGTGGGGACAGCCTCCAAAAACAAGCGGTGGGCGCTTCAGCACCCGATTAGCTAAAGCCGCGATGAAGAGGAACGTCCCTGCACCAACTTACCGTACCGCACTGGTCACCTCATCTCCAGGGGTGACCTCAGATGGGGACCTACCGCCCCTTTTGCCCCGTTCCTGCCGCCTCCCCGCGAGCTGCTCTCACCTCTTTCATGATGGGATCCTGCGGGTCTCTGCTCTCCACGATGCACGGCTCGACGAAGTACCCGACGCTGTCGTCGCAGCCGCCCCCTGCCAGGATGGTGAGGTTGGACGACTTCTTGGCGTGCTCGATCCATTTCTTTATCCGTGCAAAAGACTGAGAAAAGGAAATAATAAAAAAAGAGGGTGGGTTCGGGGGTCTAAAAGGAGGTTTGGGCAATCCCTTTCAGGGCTACGCTGCTCTTCCAGCTCAGGAGGAGGAGGGGGAGCTGGAAATACAGTCCCGGGCACTCTGAACCTTAAGTCTGAGACAATTTCTCAGCAAAAGAACCCACTTTTCAAGAGGGGCAGTGACTAGGGCACGCAATACTACAGGAGGGAGCAAAAGAGGGCTGATAATCAGCTCTAACTAATCACTGATGTTCGTAATTTGCTGTCAGCAATAAAACCCATTTAACCTAACACTTACTGAAAGCTGGTGGTGTCACCTTCTCGCACTAGTAGCAACAGGAGAGGTGAGCTCACCTTGTCATCGATCACTGCCGAGAAAAACGTCCCGAAGTCCTGGGCAGGCTGTGGGAAGCCGGAAAGGAGACAATGTAAGTACATACTGTGCCAAAAAGCTAACTCTGAAATTAGGAGCCGCAATTCCCCAAATAACACTTTCCCCCGCTCCAAACACACCTCTGTTCGAGGGCGCACGCCGCCCCTTTTCAATTAGTCTGCAGTATTCAGCGACTTACACAACCCTTCCTGCAGACGCTGGCTACAAGTTAATTTCTAATCACTAAAAAAAGATGAAGGGGGGGACGGAGGGGTGGTGGTGGGGAGAACCAGTGGATAAAAAGCTCGGTTCAATAGGAATTAGTAGCCAGTTACCGCAGTCTCTAATCCCATCAACCACCCGCTGAGCCGCAAAGCCCTTCAGCAGCCCGGCAGCTCCACTCACGTCTCCCACTTTGATCTTCCCGTGCTCCTCCAGCAGTTTCTCTTTGATCTGGGGCCACAGCGAGTCCGG